TTGTAACTAATCTCACGTTTTTTATGCATACCAACTAAGGAACTCTGCCAATTTTTGGCTATATTCAGTTAAATATTCGTATGATTTTGTGAAATTGACGGATCAGAAGACACTTTCAGAAGAGGATAGGCTATTAAATTTTGATGTTGTGTCTATGTACACATACATCCCTTTTCAGGGAGCTGTTCAAGCTCTGATACATTCTCTGGAGTAGCATCCAAGTATAACACAAGGAATAAGGCTGAATGTAGCTTCCATTATTAGACTTATTGACCTATCCATGAGTATCACATATTTTACCTTCGATGGTAAGTTATACGGAAAAACACAAGGACTAGCGATGTGATCTTGTCTGGCTCCTATCTTGGCAAATAATTATATGACAAAATTGGAGGAACACTTTCTGCAAGAGGTAATACTAACCCATAAATTGTTGGTTAGATACATGGATGACTATTTTGTCATCTGGCCTCATGGTGAGGACAGTTTAGATAGTTTCCTACTTTCACTTAACCAGCGTGAAAGGAACATTAAGTTCACGATGAAAATGGAAGAGAATAAGTCCTTACCTTTTCTGGACGTTCTCATCATTAGAGAAGAGGAGATGTTTATAGGAAGCCAACATATGTTGGCTCTTTGCTTAATTTACTTTCCAACAAAATTTACAAGACTAAGGTTGGAATTTTGAAGTCAATGATTCGTGGAAGTATGAGGCTAGCGGATAGCAAACATTTGACTAAAGAGTTGGAACGGCGGACAAATATAGTCTTTGGGCCTTATTGAGAATAATATCTGTCTACTGAGAAATGCATTTTCAGACGGAGACCATTTAGTGGAAGCTAGACAGACTAAGACATTTTCTCATGTCCTAATTTTGTCGTCATACCTTCTTTCAAAAAAGATGGGCGAATTAGAAAGAAAGTGGGGGAAAGAAATAGTGTTCAATGAAACCATCACACTTTCTTTTGCTATGCCATCTTTTATAGGGAAATAGGACCCATTCTCGAGATCCGGCTGCTACAAGCTTTATGCGAAGAAAAGTTTGGTTTCGAGGAATCTCTTGCTTCATAATTGTTGAGCTTACTTCCATTTCGAGTGAAAGTGGGCGGTGAAGAGATTCGAAGGTTGATTGCACCAGAAGTCGACGACGGATTCCTCTTGACCAGCTGTCGGTTGGCTTTACCGGAACATTCATGCTGACGCTGTTTCCAAGGCAATCTCTTTCGATTCCGGGGAAAAGGTGCTAA